AACATGAAAATAAAAACGGCATACTCGTTGGTTTGATACAAGCAAAACGCAATTTGCTGGTGCGAATAAAATTTTAGGTGTTGCTCATGCTTCAAAATCCATGTACAAGGAGATGAAGATGACACAGGCTAGAAATGAAGCACAACGATGTAAATGTAAATAAAACAAAAATGAAAAAATCAAGGAAAGGCAAATTAGATAAACTGGCCTGTAAATTTCTACGATCCGGCGCCAAAGCCATAGAAATACTTAGAACAAACGAGTGGGACGCTTGGGCTGTTTTTATTCTCATGTTTTGTGGGAATGCGCGGCCTCTGATGGATACTGCAGCCGAGTTGCTCTTGAGTTCTGGCCCTCGTCATCATCTTCTGTTCTTATTTTGTAGCACCTCCAATGTTATCCGCATCAGGAAATTGCGTTTTACTTGTATTTGAAAGCGCAATTAAAGGACTTGGCAAAGTGCCAAGGAGCCGCGCGCTTACGACGGATGTTATGAAGGACGGGAATCTGCGCCGCAAAAAGGTGTAAGGCGGAGCATGGAGGAATTAGCGTGTTTCACGGTCCTGTATCTCCATTCCTGCGCATGTTTGAACGGGGAAACCGCTATGCTTCGACAGCTGGGGGGCTGCTAGTCACATACACCCTCAATGTGTGTGAGCGTACTATGTGTCTTTAAATTCCCTGGATGGAAATCAAAGATAGGAAGATAAACATACATAGTACATGGACCTACACAATGGACGCAGATGGTTCAGCCAGTTCTCCCACTATGAAGAAATGAATCGTACAGGTGAATGGTGTACAGTGTCAAAGTGATCTTGTTTTGTTTCGCTCTCTAAGTGGGGCCCCTTCGAACTTCAAAGATGCACATGGTAGTGGTACCAGGAGAGGATCCACAGTCGGCTCCTGCCCCAGGCTGCATATGCCATCAACCAGCCCCGTCGTTCGGATGAGTAGCATCGGAGCGCGGTTGCAATTGCAACGCGTCGGCGCGCGTTACAGCGCGTCGTCGCACGCCACCGCCCAGTCTAAACGCTGCCTAACGGACGCACCACGTAGCACCCTATCTTGTTGTTGAACGCCTTTACACTCATCGTCCCACCGTATGCTGACCCTTAAAGTCACGGCCTGTGTTCATTTGATGTGCTGGAGCCTTCGTTGGACATGGTAGCCCTCCTTGCAAGGATGGATGATGTACTATTTTTTTTCAACTGAACCACGTGAATAGAGGGCGCTACGCAACGGCCCCACCCACTTACAAATCGGCAAATCCAACTTTCATTTTTAACGGTTTCCCGATGGGGTACGCTACTAGCTCTCTCAATTTCAAATGGTGAGAGTGAGGTAATAAGGGGAAGGAACTGGCACCACCAAGTGCCTGCCCGAGTACGCCCTTTCTTCGCTTTGTCGACGTACAAGCGCAGTCCAGCATAGGAGTTCCATATGAGGCATTTGCTTTTTTTCTGCTTTTTTTTTCCACTGCTGGACCACTTATTACCCTGTCATCGGGGTTCGAGCCACACAATCGCTCATTCTTGAACTCGGGAGCAGGGCATGCCTCGTTGTGATGATCACAACGGGGTCGTATTTGGTTTGATGACTTTTTTTGGTGGTCGATTTCTCATGTTTCACGGACGGTGAAATGGGGGGAGGGAGGGGGTCGTATTCGTATTTTGTTGTAGGAGAGGGACTGCCAAAGATCTATACAACTACTATTTCCGATAGTTGAAAATGATAGTTAGATCCTGACGATTCCCCCCCCCCCCCCGCTCGACGGAAACTTCATAGCTGAAAACTAGAAACTTTTCGGGAAAAAATGGAAAAATTGGTAGGAAGTTGGGAAGTCTATGAAAGGTAGGTCGTATTTGGGGATAGAATTAGGGGGTCGTATTTTTTAGGGAATGATCACAACGCGATAGCGGCCCAGCTCGGAAGGTGCCTTAAGGACAAGAGAGATTCGACAACACAGCGACCCCGCGGAAGCCGCGGAATTTCCAAATCGATACGTATGCCTTTTCCAAAAACTACGGCTTCCGCGGACGCTGTGCATGAGCGCGGCCTAAGCGTTTGCTGCGTAAGGTATGTGGGATGAAGACATACTTCAAGAACGACGACAAGTTTTTCGATCACCGTCATAGGAAAGCTTGGAGAATTCGCCAACAGTGCGCGTTGCTAGGCGGTGATCAGTGACAATATCGACCATATTATTTACCCTCTTTGCTTTGCTGTTTTTCAAAATTGCTTTTAATCTCATTAAAATGTGTGCGTATAATGTCTGTCTCACAACGAGCCGCAATTCCAATCAATTCATTCTCGTTCAGATCTTGAAACACATGAATATGCTGGCGATATTTGCCTGTAACTTTTAGCATGTATCTGTACGGAGTCGCCAATGGTATGGATTATCAGATGAATGGAGAGTACGTTTTTTCGTATTTATAAGAATGCTTACTGTGTGGAGTTTTTTTGGCAACGATTACGTGCACCGCAAAAGGACAAATAAAGATTTCTACTCTCATTCATGGTTTTTCCCACTTACCTGTATACTTCTAACTTTATCCCTCCGAGATTGAAGATATAAAATCAGTTTGTAAGACCCTAGTTTTTATTCTATTCTGAATGTTGGGATAGCGAAGACCCATGTAATATCAGGTCGTGTGTAGAAATAGGGCCATGGACTGTGCTAATTCTTATTAAAGAGATTCTTTTAGAACCATTGATAACGTAACAGTTGATGCTCACCCGATCGAACAAGCCATCGTAATCAAGTATCAAGTGGACAATAATCGAAACCATCGCACCACAGAATGTCAGAAGCTGTACGTTTTCAGTAGTCATTTGTATGCTAATGATTTTGAGGAATGTTCTACCTTGCCCCTCTCTTTTCTTTTCTTTCCCTTAGCATTTGTTCCTGGCGGGCTCCGCTGGAGACTGGTGACTGGCGGAAGAGTACCCGATATATCGACAGCCTGCGTACGCGTGGAGCCAACGCTGTGGCGCATCCTTTGAGCGGTTTTTTGCATGGGACATATCATCACATTGAAGTTCCTGCTGAATGCGCCCTCCCCAATTTTCTCTTCCGGCACGACCCCTTTTTTCCAACCTACACTCCTTCTGCCGCGAGCGAGACGAGCTTGGCTCTGCATTTCACTTGAACGTCGTCCAATATAAGTTTTTTGAGAGCGATCTTTCCATTTGTGGCAGCTGGCACCTTTCTCACGCTAGGCGAGAACACCGTTGAGATTGTTCCAAAACGGCAGTGCCCCGAAAAGCCCAACCGCCATTGGTTCATATGAAGAATTCAGCCTCACCTCACTCTTGCCCATCCATGTCTAGGCTTTAGAGTGTAACTAACATCTTAGAAACTGTTGCCATTTCCCAAAAAAATTTCTCGTTGTAGGGGGGGGGGGGAGGGCGGGAGACACATGGACTCAACTATCAAAATATAGAATTGCTGAGCTGCCAACCAAGGAGGACAAGTGTAATGCGATGAAACAGGAAAGAGATGTCGTGTGAACGGGAAAGATGGAGATCAGCGATTGGAGAAACTTCTCCTCGATGCCTAATACGACCTCCCTCTGCACCGAGGCCGAGTACGACATTAGTGTTTTACACTGATGAGCCCTGTTTTTGGGTGCTCGGCATGAATATCAATAATTCGGTCGGTGTTTGCCTTTGCACGAACTATATGGCCCCAAGTTTCGTGTAATTTTTTCAACCGTTGGAGCTACCCTGGAACTCGCGTATATCATCGTCGGTAATGCGGTCTGCACGCATGACCACTGCCGTCCAATATATCGTTTCTATCGTCGCACCGAGCCAGGCTGCACTTTTTGGTGCAGGCCAGCAGTCAGCTCGTGTAGCGCAACTGGTACTCGACACTTCTTCTTTATATGACTTCGATATGAGGTACACTGGACTCTTTTGCCACAATGGACGTCAATCTTGGAGCGCTGTTCAAATCCGGCTACGAGGCACAGTTTCTGATAAAAAATCCTTGGAAATTACATGGAAGGTTCTTGGTACGCGTTCGCTCCATAGCCCCGATCTTAGGCATTTAGGATAAAAGAAGATTAGTAATCGGGCCCGTTCAGTCGGTCTTAAAGCACCCATCCTCTTTCTATTACTCTCTCTACCGTTTCCCGTGACCTTGACCGTGACCTGAGACCTTTGTTAGACCATTTTTCCGTAGTTGTGATTTCCTGCCTATTTCATTATAAGTATTAATTGTTGAGTTTTTTTAAAGGGTCAACCTCAAGAGATCTCAATGAAGACGTTGATGTCAAATTGTTGGCTGACGTTGTTATGGAAAAATGTGCACTTATACCAGAAGGAATGCGCCAAGAAGTTGAACAAATATTGTACTACCTACAAAACAGGAACAAACGTGCTCGTAAGTTTGTGATGTTGTAGTTGTAGTATGAATATTCAAAGATCAAAGATTCTGAAAAAAAAACGAAGAATCAACAAAGACGTTTAAATCCAGGAAGCGCATCATCTCTTTCATCAGCTGACTATGGCGGTAGTTCCACCGTTTCTGGATCACATATATATAAGACGTACGCCGCTTAAATTATATTATGTATTAACCAAAATGATCAGCTGTAATTTGCCCACTGCTCTTAAAGAAACCAAACGTGTAATTGTGTCTCAATAAGATTTTTAATGGCACTATTTACCCTTTACTGCCCCAGTCATCCGAAATCAGGCCAGTTCCTGACCGACTTTTTTCTCCGTGGGCAGATTTGCTCAAATTTTGTCTCCTGGGGTAGTTTGACCTCCAGAATACGAATATCACAGTCGCGTCAGCCCGAACTTCTTGGGCCCGCGCCACAGGCCCAATGATTTGGCAGTATTGGCGCGGTGCCGTAGTGCGGGGCGCCCAGGAGTTTCGGGTTGACGATGTGATATCGTGATTCAAGGTCAAACTACCCTGACGGAGGGCAAGTTTTTCAGCGCAATTTGGTGATTTCGAATATCTTGGCGAACCGGCGGCGCGGTGGCGCGGGCGCCCGGAGGTTTTCGGTCAAGCAGCACTGCGTATTCGTGTTTCAGCGGGTGAACTACCCACTGAGCGCCCAAGTTTTCAGCAAATTCTGCCCACGGAGAAAAAGTCGGTCAGGAACTGGCCTGATTTCGGATGGCTGGGGCAGTAAAGGGTAAATAGTGCCCTTTTAATTATTTAGAACTCCATTCTTACAACATTTTATACGCTTTTTTACTACTCTGTTTGTCGCAGGCGTGTCACCGTTTCGAGTTAAGAAGATGACGGGGACGTATCATGTGAACTTCACAAGTAGACCAACTTAATCGGACGTACGAAACCAGTTATTTCAAAATAATCTTACGCTATCAACGCACTTTCGGCGTCGACGATACGTCCTCCATTTCTTATGTAGGGTTTATACTGTGCGACCCGTGAAAATCAGTTTCTGTGGAATGCTGAAAATCAGCGTTTTGTGGGAATCTCCGTTTTGAGAGAATGCGCGAAAAGTAAAGTAAAGGAACGACTGGCATCTATTGCTAGCGTTTCGAGAGGGTCGGGGTTTCGGGGGATCGGTTAAATTGGTTAATAGAATGCACGAAAAGGAAAGTATAAGTATCTATCTGGCGTTTTGAGAGAAAGCGAAACATCAGAACGATACCTATACTTTCGTTTCCACTCGTTCTTCCGAAACGACGAACCTCCTAACCATGAAACGCATATTCTCTCGGATCGCAAATTATAAACAGTGAGTTAACAAGTAATGTATTGGATCCCATGACTATACTACACCAGACTGCGTTCAAACTTTGCGTCAGCGTTTTGAACATTAGGTAGTTTTTAGAAGCGCAAAGTAGAGTTCTTGAGCTACGGGGAATATAGGTATCGATCAACCTTTCCTAAGCATGCGCCGGCGTTTTCAGTGAATGCCCGCGAAAACGTCCAAAACGCTGGCGTGCGCTCAAAACGCTTATCGATACCTATACTTTCTTGGTCGCTCAAAATGCTGCCGTACGCTGGCATATGCTGGTGTGTTCCCATCTCCCATGTGCTCTAAACGATTAAAACGCTACTGTATGCTGAAAACGCTGACGCAAGGTATGAACGCTTTACTATTGTTCATAGTTTTAGAATAAGGGCTGATTTTCCAGAGCTACATCGAGCTGTTCTATGAAGATACAGCGGAGAAAAATCGTGGAGCTTTGCATATTCTGGAACTCACTAAGACCACCGCAAATCTGGAAGTACTCATTGAAAATGGTTAGTATGCATGAATTACCAGTTTTTCGCATGAGTGCTTAATTGAACTTTTCTATCTGAATTACTTTTGTTGCTGCAAAAATGGTTTCCATATTTGTATGCTTTTTCAGAAACGTTAATTGGAGCCTTAGCTCGTGTATTCCGCGAAGACTGGAAGAAGAATTTCGAGTTAGCTACCACAATAATACGGATTTTCGTACAGTTCTCGTACTACAACCAATTTCAAGCAACTTTATCTCATCACAAGGTATGTTTTCCTGAATCGCGTCAATTTTCACACACACCTTTGAAAGTGTTCTTAGAATCGCGAAATCATGTTTTATCTGTGTGTTGATCGTTTTATGCCTTTTCCTCCGCCATTACAAATCGTTGTCTAGCCTTGGTTTAACTCAGATTGGTGCCCTGTGCATGAATGCTATGGAGTACGAGATAAAGCGCGGTGATTTGTGGGCGGCTGAAGCGAAAAATGCGGACGAGAAAACTGCGAAGAAATGCCGTCTAGCTATTCGTAAGCAACAAGCCCTTTTGGCAGGTATGGTCTTTGGCATTTCCACATCGCTGAAAGTTCCACTTACATTTTGAATTATGTTCCCTACCTTCGCAGTTCGCCGGTGAGGCGAATCATAGAACGTCACATACTGCGTTAGTGACGTCCTGGGACACACGTCGCTAACGTGCTGTTTCACGGATATGGCACGTCATGTACCTTTCGACAGATATGTAGCATCTGACAAGTGAAGTAAAGTTAATATCGTCGCAATCAGTGGGGGCAACGTCAGGAGAGGCGAAATGACCCGCCTCCGGCTGCCTCTTTTACCAGTAGTGTTTAGTTAGAGAGGAAGAAAACAACCAGTGATGAAAACAGCACGGGTGGTTTTATCCCATGCCTTCAGTGACAGCTCTGACTGACTGCGACATCAGTTGTACTGGAAGGCGCAGTTTGTCGACGGGGGGGGGGGGGGGGGAGCATTCTGCTTTCCATAGATGTGCCGACCCATCTAGGTAGCCTTTTCTCGAGTTGACACGTTTTAGGATGGTGGCTAGACGATCTTGCACCAGCTTCACAAGGGTTCACAAGTTTTACCAGGGTGAGATTTGTAAACCGGAACTAGGGAAGCAATGGTAGTACAAAATGCCCCCCCCGTCGACAAACAGCGCCGAAGGAATGTATA